CCATTCTTCTCACCTTCTCCAGAAGGTTCGTTCTTGTTCCTTTTATCTGAGCCCTCCTTGTTTTTCCTGCTACCTTCCTAATCTCCAACCTTCATTTTTCTTCCAAAATATTGATAAATGCCTAAGATCTTTAGACTAACTCCAAAGGACAAAAAGATTCTGACATTGTTCTGGAATTTTATAGAAGTCATACTATGTAGGGTTATATTCAGGCCAATCTAGTACAGTACTTATTTTCTTTTTTAAAAAATCGAGTACTTTTTGGTAAAAAGTGAAATAAAAAGCTTGCTATGCTCATTTTAGTTCTGTTTGTCTTTCTGTTCCTAACAAAAAAAAAAGGGGGAGGGGGATCTGTAGCCCGAATACTTTCTCAGACTACAACTGAGAAGATAACTAGTTATTTATGTCAAGAGAGACACAAGCATCGTAGTTTTTGATAATTTGGTTTATAAATAGGATATTCTATTTTAAACAAAACATGCCATGGATATATCTAAGCCCTTCAAATAGTTTCCATATAATATTGCTAAACAAAAGCCAGTTGTGTTTAATAAGTAACTTGGAATGCTTAACAGTTATTTAGCTTGTATCTTGCCGAGTTTAAAACCTATTTTTGCATTAGTTGAGCAATTTTTTTAAAAAAAGATTTTACATTTACCAAATTTAATGCCTTTATTCATGCCTTGAAAAAATAAAGGCATCTGGGTCATTATTTTATGAAGTTTTCTGGGCTTCTAGTGCAGAACACATAATTTAGAGCTGTCAGACTTCTCAAGCTACAGATCCTTTGGCCCTGAAATAAACTTAATTTTGTCTCCTTTTTAGCCACTGCTTCATCAAGTCATGTTCTATATCAGTTTTTTTTTATAACTAATAATAAACTTGGTCATACTTTGACTACTGATGTTTCCAGACCTAATTTTTGTCATTTTTTCAAAAGTTTACAAACAACAATTTAACGTGTGTAGAATTTTCTTGCTCTTTTCCTATAAATATCTTATTTTTATTATGTCCACAAGATCAGCACCGAATAGCTACTAAGAATCAACCTCCTTTAGTTTTTTTTATTGATTTTTAAATTCGATTTGATTTGTTACTTTTTTGTGGCTTTTAATTATTGTTATTTTGATGGTTGATGTTTTTAAGCTATTGTTATATTGTGTGTGTGTGTGTGTATATATATATATATATATATATATATATATTACAGTATAAATTAGCCATGTTGATTTAAGATCTAAATATCTCAATTGTGTTTCACATACATGCATGCCCAAGATACGACTTTTTTTTCATGATAAGCAACGTGAAAATATTTCATAAATGAATAAAACATACACGCACATCGTACTGATTTACATCTTCAATTATTTCATGAGATAATAATACTGTGATTGGTTGACAGCCATGGCATGATGCCCAAGCAACTCCATCAAAGAAGTCTTCCATGTACTCCCTGTCTGTGATTTAAATTAATTTAGTTTACATATTCCAAAACCTTTTTCTCAAAGCCTTAAACATCATGTTTAAAAAGCCATTTCCATTCAAATGTCCTCTTTCCAATTGCTTTACAAAACAAAAATAAAAATGCAGTAAGGGTTTTTTCTGGACAACTTGCTAACCATCACTTGGAGATACCCTGTTTACAGAATGATAGAGCTGAAAAGGACCTTGAAGGTTTTCTAGTCCAACCTTTTACTCAAGTAGGGGACCCTATACCATTTCAGACAAATGGCTGTCCAATCGCTTCTTGGAGATGCCTCCAGGGATGGAGCACCCATAACTTCTGGAGGCAGGTTGTGTTCTGTCCCCGTACCACACACCCCCCCCCCACAGACGGCCTGGAGTTAATAAGCCACACGACAAAACTCTTTGAAGATAAAGCTGGCAGCAACCCAATGGCTAGCTGCCAATTCAGACTTTACTCACACAAAACAAAGATTAGACTGCAAGCATTCCGATAAAACAGGCAGAGTTTCAACAATACAAGGATTAATCCAAATGCAGTCCGATAAAGCAGGCAAAGTCCAGTAACGCAGAGATCATGGATTATTTCCAGTCTTTGCTCGTCACAAACTGAAACAGCCACCACACCCACATTTATATCCTGTGGGGTGTGGTCCAGTGACTCAGATAATCTCTGTCACGCCTTCCCCTCTGCTGTGCACACTTCTCCCTGCGCCTCTGCCGAGGGTCCAGCCAGCACTTATCTTCTTCGTTGCTGTCCACCTGTGGCTGCGGGACGTGCTTGGCTCTGAGCCTATCTTTTGGCCTTTGGTGTCCTCCGGCGGCATTGCCAGAGAGGAGGGTCCTGGAGAGGGAGGCCTTGCCAACTTCTCTCCCTCACTCTCAGAGTCTGCATCTGTCGATAGCCCAGGCTCAGGCAATGGAGCCACAACAGGTTGTTCCAATGATTAATTGTTCTAACTTCAGGAAATTTCTCCTTAGTTTAGGTTGGTTCTCTTCTCTCCTTGATTGATTTCCATTCATTGCTTCTTGTCCTGCCTTCAGGTGCTTTGGAAAATAGATGTTTTGTGGATTTTGGAAGACTGCTATCATGCTACCCCTAGTTCTTCTTTTCATCAAACTAATCATTAAAGAGGACATATCCCCATG